GATAAACAATTGACCGAAGTCATGAAACACATCAATCAGTAGTACATTAAGAAGAACAGTTGCGTCGTCTGAAAGGCATGATCTATCTTAAAGCAGAAGGGCGACTTTCCAGTTCAAGAGAACGTAAGAGAAAAAGGGTACATATCTTTTTTTTTCTTTTTTTTAGGGATTTTCAACACTATTTATTTAAATTTTTTTTAAATTATTATACGTTAAGTTCTAGGGTACATGTGCATAACGTGCAGGTTTGTTACATATGTATACTTGTGCCATGTTGTTGTGCTGCACCAATCAACTCGTCAACACCCATCAACTCATCATTTACATCAGGCATTACTCCCAATGCAATCCCTCCCCCCTCCCCGCTCCCTGTGATAGGCCCCAGTGTGTGATGTTCCCCTTCCCGAGTCCAAGTGATAAGTTTCTGATTAGCCTCCTCAAAAGAGGCAGTCAGATATGTTTTTATCTCAGTGAGCGGAGGGGTGACTTTGAATAGAATGGGAGGCAGATTTGCCCTAAGCAGTTTCCAGTTTGACTTTTCCCTTTAGCTTAGTGATTTTGGGGGCATAAGATATTTTCCTTTCACATTTCCCACTTTTCTTTTTAAAAATCTTTTGGAAAAAGCATTTTAGGAGAAAATGAGTTTGTGGTCTCAGGTTTCGTCTGATCTGTCATGGCTAGGATGGTTTACTCCTAGATGAGTAGGTCCTGAGTTATTAGGAAAGTTCACTTTTAGAAGATTGTGAAGTCTTATGTCCTGTGAAAAGAAAACAGGGGGAGCAAGGGAGAAAAGCAACAAACAAAAGAACAATCCTGGAAAATCGTTATAGGCTGGATTACTCTGAAGTCCATACATCAATAGGCAAGTATGAAAGTGGCTTATGTATGTAAATAGATTGCTGTTATTTTCTTCTGAAATTTAAGTTGTCTGGCTTCAGTTTGCAGGGCTTTAAGAAAGCACAGTTAGCTGGGCATGGTGGTGCACACCTGTAATCCCAGCTACTCGGGAGGCTGAGGCAGGAGAATCGCTTCAATCTAGGAAGTGGAGGTGGCAGTGAGCTGAGATTGCCCCACTGCACTTCAGCCTGGGTGACAGAGTGAGTCTGTCTGAAAAAAAATTAAAGTAAAAATAAATAAATAAAAAAGAAAGCAAAACTTAGTCTGGACTTGGTGGCTCACCGCTATAATCCCAGCATTTTGGGAGGCCGAGGCAGGTGGATCACTTGAGGTCAGGAGTTTGAGACCAGCCTGGCCAACATGGTGAAACTCCATCTCTACTAAAATACAAAAATTAGCTGGGTGTGGTGGCAGGTGCCTGTAATTCCAGCTACTCAGGAGGCTGAGGCAGGAAAATTGCTTTAACCCACGAGGCAGAGGTTGCAGTGAGCTGACATCGTGCTGCTGCGTGCCAGCCTGGGTGACAGAGCAAGACTCTGTCTCAAAAATAATAAAAAGAAAGCACATCTTAGTTTTCCATGACTTCAAACTAGAAAAAAATGGGGAAAAAAGTTGAAAACTTTATTTTGAATACATGTAGCTAAAAAAAAAAATTAGAATTCTGTCCAAATGGTACCACAATAATGAAAATTGAAAAACATTAGGCAAGACTAGAATCTAACAACAGGTGTACTACAGTTTTCGAAACATTTTTCTTTCTCTAGTTTCCCATTTTTACTAAAGACAAGTCATGTCTTTAGTAATTTGATTTGCTTTATTATACTTGGCCTAATTATTTGTATACAATACAGCAAGAGTAATTATTTTTCAAATACACTTTTAAATTGGCTTTGATGGAACTTTGTTCTATAGAAGGAATCCCAGATAAGATCTTTTAAAATTTTTTATAATTTCTTTTTTGAGATGGAGTCTCACTCTGTCCCCAAGCTAGAGTATGGTGGCACCATCTGGGGTCACTGCAACTTCTGCCTTCCAGGTTCAAGCTATTCTCCTGCCTCAGCCTCCCAAGTAGCTGGGACTATAGGTGCATGCCACCATGCCCAGCTTATTTTTGTGCTTTTAGTAGAGTCAGGATTTCACCATGTTGGCCAGGCTGGTCTCAAACTCCTGACCTCAAATGATCCACCTGCCTCAGCCTCCCAAAGTGCTGGGATTACAGTCGTGAGTCCCTGCACCTGGCTAAGACCTTTATTTAAAGCCAAGACCAGCCATGGATTTGTGCCATTAAATACCTATAAGTTGGATGATCCTCTGCTCTTGAGGTTCCAAAGTAAACTTGGGGCTCCTGGGCCTGTCAGAAAGTGACATTCTTTACTTATCACAGGTCAGGAACGCTGTACAGGGAAGGTATGAGGCCAGTTTCCCCAAGGGGCTTTATTGGCTTCCATAAGTCAAGTTTGATTCCTTAAAGGAAAGCACACTATTACAGTCAGAACCTTGGTAAAATAACCAGTTTCTCCTTTTGTGTCTTGTTGCAAAATGAAAACAGATTCTTTTTTTTCTTTATTTTTATCGAGACGGATCTCCGCTCTGTTGCCCAGGCTGGGTGCAGTGCCCACGATCTCGGCCACTCAAGCTCCGCCTCCCTCTTCCCACAAGCTCAATTCTACTCAGGCCTCCCGCTCTCCTAGTAGCCTGGAGCTACAGTCCGCCACCGATGCCCGGCTAATTTTGGGGTATTTTTATTTAAGATAGCGGGGATAATACACAACAGTGGTCTCGCTCCTCGCTGACCTTTGATCCACACACCGCTCAAGCCTCCACCAAACAACACATGACAGGCATTGAGACACACCCAGGCGACACCCACACCATATACTTGCACACAAAAAAAGGAAACATACTACAAAAATGTCCAAAGTTCTGGAGAAATCAGGTAGAAGAGAAACAAATATGCTCCAAAATTTTACTCATAGGAGTATACTAAATTGTAAAAGCTTCAATAACTCCAAAAGAAGTTTCCTTGACTCTGAAAAAAAAAAAAGGAAATCACCCAACATTTCTTATTTTTTTTTTTTTTTTTTTGGACGAAGTCTCGCGCTCGC